ACTGCTTACTGTATAAGCACAAGGACCTGAGTTCAATCCAGAAAGAGTCGGTAAAAACCAGGGTGGGCTTGCGATCTCAGTACAGAGAGCAGAGAGAAGAGGGTCCCTAGGACCTGACAGCCAGCTAGCCTAATTGATAAGCTCCAGATTCCAGAGACAAGGAAGAGGAGGAAGAGGAGGAAGAGGAGGAGGAGGAGGAGGAAGAGGAGGAAGAAGAGGAAGAGGAGGAGGAGGAGGAGGAGGAGGAGGAAAGAAAAAAAAAGACATACAGTCCCTAAGGAATGATACCCAAAGTCTATCTGTCCCCCTACTCATACACATATGCACGCATACCCCCATGTATAGCCACAAGAGATAGAAGACAGACAGACAGCCCATGACTTTAACTCTAGTCACTCCAGGGTGAGAAATCAGAGCACCATGGGGCAGTGGGGTTCTGAGTGGGTGCTGCCAGCAGAACTCTGTTCATTTCTTAGGTGAGGTGAGCCACTGTGGTGACCTGTCTCTTCTTTTAAGGGATCCTCATCTTTCCCAGGGCAGCTCCACACCTATGACTTGCCTCGAGACTGAGCAGAGCTGGGGAGGAAGGTGCGGGGTGGCTGTAAGACAGCAACGTGGACTCCAGGTGCTGAGGTTCAGGACTCAGTGTTTGTGTTTTTACTTTGTTTCTTCAGAACTGGGGAACCAATCTGACCCCTTACTGAGCCCAAGCAGAGGACTCCAGGCCAAGTGCTCACCTGTGTCAGCAAATGCATCTTTCAAGTTCAATAATCAATCCCAAAGAAAATGATAAAAGAAACATACAGACATCGTTACCAACATAGACAGACGTGTGCACACATACATATGCAGGCACATAAGCAAGCATACATGCATGCATACATATATGCATGAAGTCCACCCAAGGAAGAGGATTAATCAAACCCAAAACACAAATATGACCTGGTGATGCAGGCCTATAATCCCAGACATTCTGCAAAAAGAGGCAGGAAATGGAAAGTTCAAGGCCAGCCTGGACAACCTAGTAAGAGGCTGTCATAAAATAAAAAGTGAAAAGAGGGCTGGGGGTGTGGCTCAGTGGTAGAGCCCCTGCCTAGAATCCCCCAGTGAGGGGCT